CAACAAAATCGTTCTTTCCGTATGCAAACTTCAAATTATTATCTTCATATAATTTTACGTAATTGTATTAATGGCACGTTAAACGTGAGATTTCAACCGTTTCTATTTTTTCCCGACATGATTACGTCGGCATGCGATTGTCGTACGCATTAAATCACAGATAGACACAATTTATGCTACACTGTAACTGCGCGAGAATATGTCGGTCGCAGAAACGAGCTGTTAATCTCGTGACCTGGACTTGAGAGCGTTGAAGGAATGTCGTGTCCGATTTTAAACAGATATATATATTTGCACGTTAAGAAACGCAATATTTTCTAATTTCATTGCAATTCAAATTATATCTCGCAAATAAGCAATCAAGTATTTCGTCTTTTATTTAATTGTAAGAACAAATTAAGTTTACAGTGATATAATAGCTTTTTTTTAAACATCAGAAAATTATTCCGAAAACGCATATAACAATCCAATTAGGTGGCGTCGTTATAACACTTACGCTTACTTTACACTTGTGCTAACTATGTGGCGGCTATACGCCGATATATATGGGAGGCAATTAATGTGCATCATACGCGCATTAGTACCGCTGACTCATTATTTACACTAGACTTCTGCTGTACCACTGCCGCAGTTACTGTTCTTACGGCAAAGCATTATTACTTCTCCACGAGGAGCGTCATTAATCTCTGACACGTGCGCAGAGGTGTGGACGTCCGCTATTTAACTGAGTCATTCCGATGCGTTTAGACTTGTCGGATACGGGCGTGCATACTGGTCATATGTCAAATTAGTCCCATGCGCGTATCTTTTGCAATACGATCGTATTAATTAGGATATCCTCAATCGTCAAACGTATTTCGTATTAATAAATCATATTTTAGAACGTTTCAAAATTATATCCATTAATTTAAATTAAAATATATATCATTACAAATCCTTGATAGTTTCTTTTATTCTTTAACTCACGACTCGCGAGCGCTTTACATGCTAATATACACTTTTAAATCCGTAGTGTCAAACCGAATCTTATTTAAGTTGCCATACTGCTCTTACTTAATAAATAGTCTTTTGTACTAAAACAATGGAGTTAAATAATTTAAAACAGTTCAGATTTAACCCAAATTTGGGTTAAATTTCATTGTTTTATTTAAAAATAACTATATTGTTTTGGTTAAAAATAACTATTTATTAAGTAGGAGCAGTGGCGACTTAAATAAGGTTCAGTTTGACACTATAGATTTAACAGTGTACAATGTTAATATATTATTGTTTCTACGTGAATTTTGTCACATATAGTATATTTTGATGCTCGTATAAATTCATCTTTCACGTGTCTATTGGTAGTAGTGTGTAACCATGTGCTCAGTGAGACGTATAGCCATTAATCGTCCACTTGCTCATACCGCCGTCGTTGGAATGTCGCTTTCCGCGTCGACTTAAATGTAGCTGTCCAACCGGGCAAAGATCGAGATTGCATTGACTCTTTGCGATGTTTATTCCGAAACGAAAGCGATCAGGATTAACGATATAATGACAACGAAATCTTTATTGAGCGACGACTAATTAGCGAGTCGGTAAAAGAAAACAAGTTTGATAATTCAATCATAAATTATATATACGGATGTGATAACAATAGCATTAATAGTACTGATAAACGTAACTATTTGAAATATGTCAAAAAAATAATAAAAATATAACAAGCATAATTGAGATAGCATCCTGTATTGTAACAACGATAATAAAATTATAAGCATGAATTCGTTAATCAAAGACTTATTGTTAAATAGATTAAGACAATAAATGATAATCAAACATTTATTTTGTTTTGACTGAAAATTGAAATTGAAATTTTCCACTTAATAAAATTTTGCTCATTCGCAAAAAGTGTTGTGCATGATATGATTAGATTGCATGTTCTATATGGCATTAAATTCTTTCTAAGCAACCTAAGCGATTTATAATGATTAGGTAGAGCAAACAACAGTCAACTGGCTGTTTAACACATACATGTCTTTAACACATTACATGTCTTCTTTTTCTTTCACAACTACTTACTAAGAGTTTCACCTTCATAAATTTAACTCTAGATACATAATTCGTAATTGGAAATCTTGAAATACATAAAAGCGGTATGAAGGTTTGAATTATACCGATTAAAAAATCAAAAACTACACAATAATTATTTAAGTTATAGAGAACAATTTCAAATCTTTATAAAAAGTACAAATTCGAATTTGAAAAGAAAATCCGTAATTGAAAAAGATTAATTCCAAGACATCCAGACGCAAATGGAAAAAAACATTTCAACATTTAATTTTTAGACTTTTTATATTTTTAACACACATAAACTTACTCAACTAAAAAAATATAATCATGATATAACTGTGATGTAACTATGATATAACACGTAGATTAAAACTAATGGCTTCAACCTCACGTGAAAATATAATACATCGTATATGAAGTGATATTTATACGAGGCTGTGTCATGTGTGCTTATTAGATACGCGCATCACGTGCTTGATTGCAAGATCCGCGATGACGATACCAATCGTCAACAGCGTTGCTGTTGAGTTTGACACGGTATTGCAATGGTGATGTTATAAATTTAACGCTGCCGCGCAAATCGCGTTCGTCGATCGTTAAATAAAAGTATCTCGCAACGGTTCTGGGCGAATGGTCAGTGATCCGGAACCGAGGCGATTTACGAGACGAAGGAAGGAAGGTTCTGTCCGAGTATCGATTATCCACGGTCATAGTTAGCAAAAAACATCGTACCTTTCTTTGACGCTCTGGGCCGCTTCGCACTCTCTTCAGGATCTACAGCGCATACTTTAATAAACCGATTGATCTGTATCGTTTTTTCCTCGCGAGCTTGAGTATCTTAAAAATTCCTATCAGGGTATTGAAGTGGTTTAACAAACTCCGATTGATTTTCCCTTTTTAAATGTATTATAGACGACCATTTGTATATATAGAGATCATCTTTACACGCGTACATCCTTTTTAAAATTAAACGGAAATTAGCGAGATACAATATCGACCTTGGATGCAGCGAAACCAAACGTTATAGTGGCAAAGATCATTTTCGTTTACGCTGGCGGTAATCCAATAGTAAAATTTAGCAGCCGTCGGAGAGTTGGGACGAGTATGTAATGACGGCTACATTATAATTGCAGAAATATCCAGCAACGATTCCTGCTTGGCACGACGGTCTGCATATTTACTGCGGAGTATTTTAAGTGGCAACGGGAATATGTTACTTCTGTACGTCAGGCCAGTTCTCTAATATAGTCGTATATGTATGAAATGTATTATTGGCAACTCCCCACTCGTGTACCACTCAGGTGAAATAAATATTTTTAATTCGCCGATGTAATTTTTCAGTAAAACGCTTTAACGAAATAGATGGTGGAAATTAAATTAGCTGATCCATTTATTTATTACTTATCTGCACGTAATCTTCACAAGTATATTATTTCTTATTTTGTCAGATTATATAAAATCATCAATTATTCCCAAAGTTATTCTTCCAAACATGAATTTTTTTTCGGTGAAAAAAAAAGAGATCTTCTCAGGTGCAGAAAATCACCAATAACCATGCATTCATGGACCAGTTGCGAACTGCACTTTAAATTTAAACGCACCGCCGTCAAACAGGTTCTCACGCATTTGCGTGATTTCCGTGACACTGCAATATCTTCAGTGATGAGATCGAAAATTTCTTCCAAGGTGAGAACACCAAGATTTTTCATCGATCTTTTTTGTATCTTTTTCAAGGTTGTCTTCGTGTGTTGAAAGAATATTAAATAGTTTTGCAATACTTATCAAGGCATTAGCTTGTATCAGAAAAGATAATTCCGTGTGCAGGAGCTTATTTTTCCATGGATGTCAAGCATACGCGGAGACAGAGTTTTAATCATATCGAAATTAGCTCTTGGCGAATAAAGCTTTTGAAAGAAAAAAAAACACGTGATTATATATTAATAATAATCAATTGTAATCAAAATTTAATCAAGTATTTTATAATGTCGATTACCATAACATTCATTCTGCAAACCTTTCTATTTTATATATAGTTCCGTATATATAAAATGATCATTATAAAATAATTTTTTAAATTAATTGTCTTGATTTGAAAAAAATTGCTTCAATGTTTTAAATATAACAGATAAAAAATGATAAAATTTTTAAAATTTATTTATAGACTTTTAGTATTTATAGAACAATTTCGATATGATTTATTATTCTGACATCCGCATTTAAGATCTTCTCGTTGATGCGCTGATTCCAATTAAATTCGTATCAATTTTTGAATGCATAAATTTGTATGCAACTAAACACTGTAACTTGAGTGTTTTCGTTGCTACTCCATGTAAGTAAATCAAAATAAGCATCAAGAAGTAATCAATCTAATTGATTGAATCTTGTTAAATAATGAACTTCGATCAGAAGCACAATATTAAGTTTCAAAAATTCAGTGGTCATATGTAATTCAAGGTGGAAATAAATAATATTTAAATAAAAATAGAAAATATATTAAACATATAATTCTAAATGATAAAATTACATTCTGCGCGATATCCTGGCGAATAATTTTCAAATGATGAATTACTGAAGCTATGAGAAAGAAAAATTCTAGTTAATATTTTTATAATATTGGATTCATCATATAATTCTATACTTATTTCTGTTATACTTAGTTCTATACTTTTCTGTTTAATTTATGTTGTAGTTTAAATTTTGTTTAGTATATGTTGTAGTAATACAAAAATTTATAAATATTCAAATTTAAATATTTTATACGCTTAATGTATCATTATTTTTTCTATATTTATCATTTATTTTTGTGTAACAAACTATATTTTCAAATCGCTTTCTTAAAAATATTTCTAAATCATTGATTCGAGAAATTAATTGGAAAATTTTAACATAGTGCTTCGTTTTTCAAAAGTGTTTTATTTCTTTAGCTTGACAAAAATATTGAAGAAATGTCTTACCTTGATACATGCAGATTTTAGCAGAGTCCAAATGGCCATCGTATTTAATTCTCGGATCTATGTCACGAGCATATTTGATGAGGATGGACAAGATTTGGTCTACCTTTGTGGGACTATACCAGGCCGGGAAAGAATTGTTTATCTCATTCCTAGTGTACATGAGTAAATTGAGAAGGCCATCTGAAAATCAATAAAGATTCGAACGTGAGAAAAAGGTATTGCGAGCAGCACGTATTGACTGTATGCATGCATGGATATGTGAACTAAGGGAATTTGTGGAGAGGGTTAACAGTGAATTAACCGATAAATGGGAGTCTAAAGCCAATGGAATCGCGGACAACAGTTCTCCGACAGTTGCGTTATGATATATTAGACATTGCGGTAGCCAATGGTGGCGCATCTGGCCGTTGTGGCTCCGCCTACTAGGGACTCCCGGATCGTTTTTAAAATAAGGAAATGGCCCCCTTGCCTTTTGTGCCCTCACACTCGTCCACTCTTAAACACCATCACTGTCCCACTCCAGGTTAATGTCGATAGCTCCCTTTTCCTCCCTCTACCGCCTGAGAACCCGACCCGTACGACCCAGCGGAATAGACAACGGCGCGATGCAAGTGCCGCGCCGCCGGGACGCCTGGCGTTGGTTCCCTCCTTTTACGCGCCCAGGTGTACCCGGCCAACCACGTTCTGCTGTGCGCGCGTGTGCACACGACGAGAGCGAGAGAGGAAGAATAGAGAGGGATGGGAGGAGCCGTGACGGGGGAAGGGTTCCGGGGAAAAGGATGTGAGAAGCCCGTCGATATGGAGAAGGGGTGCAGCATGCCTTTTGAATTCGCGCGCACGTGCGTTTTGTGTGTGTGGCCCATTGAACTATAATACTTCTTGAAAGAGCACTGGCCACATATCCCTATCCAACAAAGTTTACGCCGAGGGATCATCATTCTTAGGGCGACAAGGTATCTCTTTTTATATACTCTCTTTACACATGCATAGATGCTCCATACAATTCTCATTAAAATTTCTTAATTAAAAGCTATATGCCTATTTTTGTGAAATAAAAATCCAAACTTTTGACTAACAAGACTGAGAGAGACGTATCACTTTTTTCACATTTCACCGTTTTTCTTGGCTGACTAGTATAATCAGTACTCCTTACAGTATTTATAGGCTGGTTAGATTATAAACACCGTTAATGTTTTTTCTTCTTGCGAGTTCGTATGTTCGATATTGTAAAACAATACAATTTTTTATTGTGAGAACGATACAATTTCTTATAGTCCAATACTCTGGCTCGTCGGCATATTTCTATCATAATGGAATTTTGTATCACGTCGCATATTATAGTGATCCGATAAGCATTACAGTTTTCCTTTCATTATCTCCTCATCTTATTGCACCATGAGCGCACGAAACAAAGAGGGAAAGAAGAGAAAACTGCTATCCAAAATCTTCTCGTTTCCATTCTCCAAGCATTTACCACGAACTTTCACCGTGCGACGCCATTTTGCATGGGATGCACTATTATATGCGAAAAGGAGGACGCAGCAATATATAGCAGTCCAATCTATAATTATCCGCTATTAACTCTAAAGCAGTCATGTACTCTAAAGCAGATGATGTGTCATTTAGCTCTTTTGAAATTTAATATTTCATTTTGTTTGTAACTTAAATTACTAACAAATTGAACAATTAAACGCTGTAATTTTGTTTGACAAATGAATATGATAATATATGCATGCAATACATTTTTTTAAAGAATTTTATATTGTTTCGAAAATATGCTACGAAATTGAGTTTGTGAGAAGACCGCATATACCTATACATATGAATATTTTGTATAATGTTCCGACCAAAATTAAATTATTTATAAGTTAAATTCAATTATAAAAAAACAAAGAAATTACTACTAAAACTTTACTTCAAATTTTAAACTACAATAAAAATTAAAGCATTAAAATACTAGCAAGTTTACACGCAGAAAAAGGATTAGCCTAAAGCTAAAAATATAGCTATGGCAGCTAAGATGTGTCGTTAAAATAGGGACAGCTAATGTCGTTGCTGCCAAAGTTCAATTTATTAATTATTAAAATGTAGGTACTACAGCAAAAAAGATTTGCTGCTAAAATCAAATGATATTTAGCCGAATCTACTATGCTATTTTATCTTCGCAATAGAATAATAATATTTGCAGTATATAGCTTATATACTGCAAAATATAAATGCTAAATGCGCTGTAGATGTGCATATATGGCAGTGCCATATTGCAAAAACAATTACAAATCAAATTTTCGCGCGTATAGCTATAAACTTAATAGTACTGTGTGCTAAATGTGTGCATGATAAGACATTTAGGTACGCATGCCATCTTTTTAGCTGTCTGTACTAATATATGTTTTTAATTTCAGTTAATAAATTTGTTTGTTATAGTGAATATTTTTTATCTATAATAAACAGAACTTAGCAATGACACTAAAGCGGTAGCTCTTATAGCTAAGTTTGATTCAGCTATATTGAAAAGCTACTATTACTAGGTCATTTTTTTGCGTGCACGTTAATAAAAATTTACCTTTGCTGACATCATCGAAATCTTAATAGAAATAACAAATGTATTTATGAAATAAGTATTATACAGTAGAACCTCAATAACTCGAACCTCTACAACTCGAAAACTTCTGTAAGACGAAAATTTTCTTCGTCCCCTTCCGCTCCACTGTAGAAAACCTCTATAAATCGAAATAAAACCTACCTTAACTCGAATTATTTGTCAGGCATTTAGATATACTATATGTATTTACATCTGTAATTCGAATTTAGAGTAGCCAGACCTCTACAAGTCGAACTTTCATTGTCGTTACCTCTATAATTTGAAGTAATTGTAGCTACGTGTAACCGTGAGTAATAGCCTGGTATTTTGTTCTATGGTTACATTTATCATATGTTTGCAATAAATAATTCACTATTAAATATTAATTTTTTTCCTCTAAAAACCATTATAATCGGAAAATTATAAACTTTCGTACAAAACTTGCGTAAGTCGAATTTTCACATGTTAACTTTCTTTTACTCGAATTTCGATAAGTTGAAAACTATAACTCGAACAGTTTTTCTGGTCCCTTGAAATTCGAGTTATCGAGATTCGACTGTATATAGTTTTATATACAACTTATATATACCTATATATACCTATATATATATGATTTCATCCTGCTTTATTATATATCTAGTATTATAATATTTCATGATAAGGATAATTTTCATGTATCAACCAAAGAAGAATTATTGTATTATTGCAAGTTCAAATTCTCTCGTTGCTATGCGATTTATACGTTCGTATTATCAGCAGGATTGATTGTATACGTAATATGAGGGGAGTTACAAACGATATCATTCGGTTCCGTGAACGCGACAGGATGCATGCGACTGTTGCACACATTTCATCACGATACGTTTATATTCATTTCTTATCTAACCGAATCTTTTCGCGGAAGAGAAACCAAGGAGTGTACAGCTATATAATGCAGGACCGATGAAATAAGCCCGATAATATTTGGATGTGTCTCCCGAGCGAAGACAGAGTTCTTATATTGCGCGACGATGACGACTGTTATGAATGACTGCCCGTACTGTCTGATTATATTGACCCGTCTCATACAACCGAAATATGATCCATTTGTGTAACACTAGCCGCCAGAGATAATTTCATGTTGTAATTGGTATTTAACGTCACTGGCTTTCTCGCTATTCCCGCAGTGTGTTATCTTTTTGTCCCTGATCTTCCGTTACATTTTATATTCAAAGTTGAATCCAGATCTAGCAAATGAGCAACTTGCTTCAATGATCGAGTGCGAACAGCAGCGTGAACATTGGTGCGAGGTCTTTAATCTTATGAAGAAATATATAGTGTAAGATTGTGATATCATCATGTTATAGTATAAGAATGAAGAGGATTGAATTTTAAAGTCGCATATATATTGGCGTGTGGCAAATATTTTGCGAGATAATTATTTAACAATATTATATACAACAAGTTTACCATAATATATCCATAAAATAGAAAAAATTATGCTTCAATATCCTATCTCCAATATATATAGGGTATGTATATGTATAGAGTGGATACTAAGTAATATAAAAGATTATCACGGGGTGATTCTTCACAAATTTAAGACAAAATATGACTTTCAGAAGACGAAAACTTCATATGATCACAGTCCAAAACAGCTTAACTTCAAAGATATAGGATGTCAAGTTGAAGAAAAAAATTTCGCTCTTTTAAAAAAATTTCAAAAACCATTTATTTTAATAAAGCTTTGTGTATGTTTCAAGTTTTATTAAAATAATCAGAGAGATTTTTGAAATTTTTGGAGAAACGATTTTTCTTTCAAAGTAGAAAAATTTTGTTTTTTCCAAAAATATCGAAAATCACTCGAATTATTTTAATAAAACTTGAAACATACCTATATAAAGCTTCATCAAAATAACCAGTGATTTTCGAAATTTTTGGAAAAAAGCGACATTTTTTCTTCAATTTTGACACCCTATATCTTTGAATCTAAGCCGTTTCGGATATACATATATAAGTATTGTCATATGAAATTTTCGTCTTGAACTTGTGTGAGGAATCACCCCTTAAAATCATTTCTTAATATCCAATTAACCTCTGTCTGTGTGTGTGTGTGTGTGTGTATGTGTGTGTGATATGTGTGTATCTTTAAAAGAACACATTTATATTTGATGATAATTTAATTAATTCGTTATTCATCCGCTCGGATTAATCCGTTAGGCTTCTAAATGCTGCTTAATTAAATGGAAAATTATCACGTATGAAATTATCCATCAATTTTTAATATATAAATATATATCTTGCTTCACACACATAAGAGAAATGCATGCTCTACATCAAAACCGGTCTAGGTGTAACCACTAGTTAAGATATCCTTGGAAAATCAATAAGATAAATAAACACGTTATCTTTAAAGCCGGCAAAGTCCGCATTTCTATAATGGAAAAATGTTACCTTGAAATGTACAACAAAAATATTCTTAAAACGCAATAAAAGTAACATAAAATACAAAAAACATAGTCTTAGCAGAGCGCTATCGGCGCTATAAAAACATGTTGTTATCATAAGTAAATAAAAAATGTGCATCTTATCGAGTATCTATTTATTATTTTTTACAAAG